GTCAGAATTCAGACTTTTTTCCCATGTTAAACTGAAATAAAATTTAAAAATCAGTAAACTTTTTTTTTTTCAGTGGCCCTAAACTTCTTCCGTACTATACCCAGTGCTCTAAATGGGAAAACAAGTTTCAGTACTCCTCTTAATGCCATATGCGACATTAAACACACTGTGTGATTACTGAAGCTTCAGTCTGTACAGTCAGGACTTTGCCTCAGCGTGAGACAGAGACAGACAACTCTTTGTTCTGGCTGTCAGTGAAGCCTCTCCTGCTGACAACATCATAAATCATCGTTTCCAAAGGACCTTTAGTCCATGAGCTTTTGCCATCTTTTAAATAAGGAGCAAAATTACGGTTCCTAATCCAATATATTGAACCAGACAGGCGGGATAACAAAACCTGCAGCGCGGAGCTAAGGAATGCTATGAGTTAAAGTAAGTTGACCTCAAACAGAGAAAACATCCTCAGATGTTGATCCAACCAAAAGAGATCAAAGAGTGTGACAGAGAGGGCTCACAGCAAGTATCTCTCCAAAATATCTATAGATACTCAACAACATGATCTTAAAAATGAAACGAAATGTGTTATTACCTGCACAAAGACTTGATCATTGTTCTTAACCGGGAAGATGGCCTGGGAAGGACTGTCGAAAGACGGAGACAAGGACAGCTCCATCATAAAATTGACCTCGCTGACCGGAGGTCTGGGTGGAAATGGAACAACCTCGGGTTTTTTCTGGGCGTATGAGCAATTAAACTGGAAAAAAAAGAACAAAATACACAGAATAACAATCAGCAGAAATCTTAGGATAAACGCCACCATTATGACTCTGGATTAAAACTGGTGAGCAACAAAATTCCTACGCACGTCCATTTAACTCTTCCACATTATGTCCTGTAACTTTCATAAACTGCAACGCATATTATTAGGACTAATTGTAATTGATCAACACAAAGAGGCGCATAAGTGTGAAGTGAAATGAAAAGGATTCCTAATTATCAATTGTATTCTCACCAATGATAACAGAGAAGCTTCACTATTCACCAATTTTTTGTGCAACTGACAGCCTTCCAGACTCATCTCATTACTAAAAGGAGGTCATCTGTGTGTAATTTGGTTTCAGTAAGAATATTTAAATTTTCTGTGGCGTTAGGTGTTTGTTAGAGAATAGAGGACAGATCAGGGTTAAAGCTCGAAGCTTTATATCACAGATATCCTCTCTATCCATCAGCCGAGAATGGAAGGAGTGCTAAACAAAGACGCGTCTATAAAGCCTGAGGATGTGACTTATCATCAACACTGAAAGGATGGGCACCAAGAATAATCACATATCTTTAGCTCAGGTGGGAAAAATCAGCAGACACAATCAATCAGAAGCTGTGCACCAAACAAATCGGGCCTTTATGGAGGAATGGAGAGAAAAAAAATAGTTATGGTTGAAATAGAACCACTAAATTGCTAAAGTGAACAGTTCTGCCGGATACAGCAACCTGAACATCCCAGCTACTGTTAAGGAGCGTTCTTCCTCAGCAGAGGATGTGAAACTCGTTATGCTGCGTTCAGACCTTTTAAACATCAAGGTTATCTGGTTTGCATGCAATGTCGATATTGG